TACTGCTCTTTATACTATTACTAATTGTATTATTATTCAAGGTCTCTGCTAAAGTGATTTCCGGTATTTGTTTTTATGTAAGTTTTTTTTTCATCTAAGTTTCTTGAGGCTTCGTGTGCACACAGCCCCTCCCTGCTGGTCACAAATCTTGTCACTTAGTGACGCCCTCTTCTTTAAATAAATCCAATCAGACAGGAGACGTTTATGTAAAACTTTTGCAGTGTTTTCAAATGATGACACAGTGATTGTGCTCCTGAAAACTTTAGTCAGTCTTATTAAGAAATAATATATTTTTTCCCACTGTGCTTGGACTCAGTGAGTTTCCCCTTTTTTTTAATTTTTTTTTTTCGTAATAACCCCTCCAGCTTCAGAAAAAAACACTTTCACATGGCACTGAGGAGGCAAGGGTGCACAAGTATCCGACAGCAAGCCTGTAAAGGTTTGGCTATATGCACCTCTATAGATGTTATCCATATATCAGGTGTTGATGCACCCAATTTGTTAGTAATATCAAGCCAGCACTAAAAAAATCTAACACTCTGCACACATGGCGCAATAAAAAAAATTTATTTTTTTTATTTCGTGTAAGACTTACGAGATGTGAAAGATATTTTTTGGTTTTTTGTTTTAATTTTACACTGATTGGTAGCTTACATCAAATTGTCTATTTGATTTAATTATGTTCACCATAGAAATGTTAAATTATTTTGTTCAAATTAGAAGTTTCAATCTTGTAAATCTAACAACCACCCAATTTCATTTTTTTTGAGTGCAGATGTTTGATTAGTACACTCTGGAAAAAGCATGAAGATAAGTGCATTAACCCAGTGAAACATCAAAAATTTGTTTTACATTTTTGGTGATAATATATAATTTTTTTCGTAACACTACAGATTTCTGACTTTTTTGTGTGAAAAAAGTAGCTTCCCTGCTGCCCTCATGCCACCCTAAGAACATTTCTTTAGGTCTGCCCCTGAGAAAGTTGTTAAAAATAGGTGATAAAATGTTGTTTTACAAAATATAGCATCATTTATCATTTATCATCAGTTCGACATGTCCATTGTGACATGTTGAAAGGCACAGGTTTGCCCGGGGCCCCCTACACTTTGCCCAAGGAGTCCACCCCTACCTTTGTCTGCTAATTCAGAGTGGAGCTTCCTGAGTGATGATGAGTTGTGGCTACTAGTCCCTGAAGTCCACTTGGTCACATATGGTTCTGCGGTGTTTTGGTCTTTAGTTAGTTTGATCTTAATTACACGAGTAAGTATATTTCTAAACTATGTGCAGTCCATTTAGTTTGCCATTAGTGGAACAAGTTCTATCACATCTCAAAGGCAAACTAGTTTCCGCTGCCTTCACTTTGGAGCGTCACAACAAAGACTTTAAGAGTTTTAATATATTTTTAACATGCAAAAGTATTTTCACATTGTGAATCAGGTTTACAGTGCTGTTTGCTCTTTTATCTCATTGTCCCTACAGCAAGTTAAAAAAGAAAGAAACAAAAGTGCCATGTTCATGAAACTTGATGGAAAAGTTTAAATTACAGAAGCTGAAGTAATTTCAGGGAAACTAAAAACACTCATGTTTTTTTTTCTTACATAATTTCTTTCTTCCCCGAAACTGACACTGAAGACTAAGAAACAACTCTCAAAGATAAGCCTAGTCTTATTTTCCACACATACTTGGTACTTTTCTTTTTTTAATAAAAGTGTTTTCAACACTGACAAACATGAACACCCAGAAAGACAGCTTTAAGGTGAAAAATCCTGAACTATCTAAAAAGTCCCGACTTTCATGTTTCATCACTGGTGATTTCAGTTGTTATTGTTTTTGTAAAGAGATGATGTAGAGTTAGACGGATCCCTTTCTGATGGCTAAACTGGAACTAGGTCTCAAAACACAAATCTAGAGCCTCTATAGTCAGAAGCCTGTGATGACTGATATATTGACTTTCCCTCTTTCTTCCACACTATAACTGGCCATTTTTTCCTACTTTACCTCACCTTTAAAAATTATTTACCTTGCCTTGTTTTGTACTATTCTTTTCAGCACAATCTAATATCTGGATTTACTTTTAATTTTTCATTTTGACATACTGCATTAACGGGATTGATCTGAGACTAAATCTAAATCCAAGTACAAAAAAAGTACTTTATTTTTTACTGTAACAATCACAAATTTAACAAATAATTTTCACAACTTGAAATTAAAAAAACCTATGCACAAGTTTTGCAAAAAAGATTTTAAAACTTTTAAAAACTGCAATATAGCTTGAAGTCTGCACTTTCAACACAAGTTGAAATGGAGGCTCTGGTTGGCTACATCTTGTTGCTGTGTCGTCTCAAATTGGTCAAGTGATTTGGACGCGCCAGCACATCCATTGACCCCAGAGGGTTAAGTCAGCTACTGCATGTATGGAGGAGTAAGGGCAGAGGTGGGTTGCAAAGGGACTTGCATGTGAGCAACCACCGTGTGCAGGAGAAAGCAGCTTTTATGAGATTAAAAATAAAAATAATAATAAGATATATAATTTATGACTACATATTTTATAATAAATAGACAAAAGACCCAGGTGTGGCATTTTAAAAACCAGCGCAGCAGCACAGCAAGCTAGAATGAGGCCAGTGAGGTTTGGAGGTGACCACTCTTACAGCCTTTGAGAAGAAGCTGTGCATACTCCTGCCTCAGGGGGGAGGTCAAAGAGTTTCTGGGTTGGGTGTGTGGGGTTAATCGTGATACAGGTTGGACTGCTCCTGCACCTGCTGACGTAAATGCCAGACAATAGACAATAAAGAACAATGGAAATCAAATCTCATCTTTAAACAAAATATCAGTAACAGTCGAGCTGTAGATTTAAATTTCATGAAAAGTGAGAACTCAGCTGTTTGTGAGCTTTCATGCCAAATCAAGTCTAATATAAATCCTGATAAATGTGTTTTTGTAATATCTTTATACTTTGGTACAGACATACATTATAGCAAAAAGCAGCCTCTGCTGTACTGTCCTTAAACAAAATATTCTAAAAAACCCCACTGTAAAATAATCCTGACCTCAAAACAAAAAGCACCATGACTGATGCGTTTGCCACTGTGCTCAGTGACGTCTCTGACTTTAATAACAACACAGCTGAACTCCTCCACAGATCATCGCTGCTAAGGATGAGAAGAGGACTTTAAAGTTCACACAATGAACAAGTTCTTCCTTATAAAGAAAATTTAACTTTGATGACATCCAAATCCTTAAAACTGAAACCAAAATGATGTACTTCAGACAATAATCAGTGTGTCTGTGTGTGGCAATTATGAACTTTCATAATTACAAAACAAACATTTGGAAAAACACCTGCAGCTCCAGGCTGTAGTTAGAAAAAATACCTAGTGTCCAAACATGTTTACATCCTAGCTGCTGTAATCACTTCAAGGCAAAAGGTGTTGGAAATCTTAGCTCTCTTTAGAATACATGCAGACTGCTAGATGTGGTACAGTTCTTAAACAGGCTGACTTCTTATTATCTAAACCAGTTTGGTCCTCAGGTTTTAGTCTGAATATGTATGGGTTAAAACAGAGAAAGACAACCATTCTTGCCTATGGGCAGCTTAAAATCACCATTTAACCTAAACCCACTGACTTCATGTCTTTGGACTGTGGGAGGAAGCTGGAGTACCCAGAGAGAATCCACATAGACATGGGAAGAACATGCAAACCTCACAAAGGCCCAGGCCAGATGAGGAAACAGTACTAACCCCCATGTGTGCAGTTAAATTAAGAATAAAAAGTATTAAATATTTAGTGAATTTAAGACAAGTTGTTATTTACAGGTTGTGCAAAACTTGTGCAATGAGCATTTAAGTGGCATTTTTGAAGTGGCAGTGTGTAGAGTCCTGTAATTGTAATGAGTGTGTAATGGTGTGTATAGAATGTCAGCAGTTCAAAAGTCTGATGGCTTGTGTGTAAAAACTGTCTCTGTATCTGGTAGTGTGGGTCTGGATGGTCCTGAACCACCTGCTGGATGGCAGGAGTGTGAAAAGTCTGTGGCTGGGATAAGAGAGGATCCGCTGCGTCTTCCTCATGCAACGGCTGGTAGTTCAGTCCTGGTGATGCGCTGTGCTGATCTCGCCACCCTCAGCAGAGCTTTGCTGTCAAGCCCTAGCTAGGTCATAAAGCTAGGTCTCAATCCCTAGCTATTAAAAGGAAAAGTTTTACACCTAATCTTTAAAATAGAGAGGGTATCCGTCTCCTGAATCCCAACTGGGAGTTTGGGAGCAAGGCACGTCCATGAGCAAGGCACCTAGTTAGGAGGTCCTTTCTCGAGCTGGAGTAAAGAATGAAATAAATTTTTTTTAACAACAATGTCCTTTCATTTCCATCCTTCAATCATGAGATAAATGCATAAGATCAACATACTTCTGTTTTTTTACACTTTGACTCAGTGAACCAGCCTCCTGCGACTGCGACACAGAGCAGCATAAAAACACAGAAGACCACAAGTGGGATCAGTCGGCTCCGACGGGACAAACCACCTGCCAGGAAAAACCAAACAGAGATGAGATCTACTGTAGGACACAACATGACATGTCGCATTTATTAAACTATCAAGCACAGACGTTACCTGAAGTTACATAACAGTGAAATGAAGTTAGAATTACTGAGTTATCAGTCCTGATGGTCACTTTAATGCTACAAGTCCCAGAATTCTCAGGGCAGCAAACATGACTTTGTCAAAAACCACAAGAGAATAACTGATACATTTACTGCTTCACAGAAATAAATAAAGAGATCTGCAGAGCTTCAACTGTGCTTCAAAATAAAAGCTGCACACATTAGACATTTTGAGGACTACACAGAGAGGCTGCCATCAGTGAGAGAAAACTGCATCATAAAGGTGATTTAAATCCATTTCAAGACTTTTTAATTGTCTTGATTTGTTCCTCATGTTCTCACCTTTACTGTGAAACTCGTCCATCGGCTCAGGAGTTTGGAGAGTTGCAGGATGCAGTGGTGTCTCTGTTGTCATAGTTTCAGCTGAATATAAGATTGTAAGAACATTTAATTATTTACAATAAAATAATATCCAGAAGTCTTTAAGGAGCAACAGCAAAATAAGTTGTTGGTAAAATAACCCAAGCACACCAGTCTTTAAGGCAAGTTTGAAACCAAACAACAAAAATCTTTTCAGTCTGACTCACCAACAATCAGATGAACAATTGAAGACTGTATTTGACTCTTTAACTTTGGGATGAAACATCTGTATCTTCCTTCATCTTCTTGTGTCACATTAGTGATTCTTAGTGAGATGTTTCCTTCTCTCAGGCCGTCTGTGAACAACGCCGTCCTCCCGACGTACGATGGGATCTTCATGTCGGGGACCTCTCGGGTGTCTCTGTAAAGATGAACATAATCCACTCGACTCAGACGGTCGTTGGGGTCAGGACGACGATCGGGCCTCGACCACTCCACCGTCAACCCCGCCACATTAAACTTTGGCTCCACGCGACACGGCAGGATGACATCATCACCTGGAGCGGCCAGGATAGGCTGAAGTGATCCGACCACATGATAGTGACCTGAGGAGAAATAAAGACACACATCCTGCTGAAAACCAAGTCTGACGTTTTCAAAAATGTCTTCCTTTCTCATCAAACACTTCCAAGTGCAATAAAAAAATGTTAATGTTAACTTTTTAGCAACTCTACACCTGTGTCCAATGTTCCCTCTAATTTTTCATGTGTCTGAGCGAACACACAAACTCCCTGAGCGATCTCGTGGACCACTGTGAGCAACAGCACACATCCAAATCCATCCAAGTTACATGGTTTATTAAAAATAATCAAATTACAGCATTTACATTTATGTTAGACTACTTTTAATTAACTGCTTTAGCCCACTTACAATGAAAATTTAAAAAAAATCATTGAAATTGTTCATGACCTGTGTAGTATGTTAACACTATTGGAAGTAAAAATAACTTGAACTCCAATTTTGAAAACACAACTTTTTTTTTTTTATATAAAGCTCTGACTTGTATAATGAGTCTGTGGTCTGGGAGAGAGTCCTGTAACTCTCTCCTAAAAATGCAGCCAAGGCGTTTTTTAAATAAACATTTCAAACTATTTACAGAACAATCAGCTGTTCTGCATCAAATCTGATGCCACACAAATTATTTGTGCCACTCCAAAAAATAATTTCTGTCCACTATGAGACAAAGGAGAACAACAGCCTGATACCTGCAGGCCTGACAACAGGAGATGTATCACTGCTGTAACACTCAGCCGTCGCCTCATTGTTCTGACACACACAACAAAACTATTGACTACACTACACACTAACTACACAAGATTTGCACTAAACGTCGCAAATCTCTCACATCTCAAAACACTGCCATTACTCCTAAAACTTCCCTCTTTCCTAATCATCTAAATGCCATGTTGCCATATCATTCATTTTTTGATTGGTCGACATGGTACATTTTTTGACAAATAGGAAAAGCTGGGGTTTTTTTGGTATTTTTTTTTGCTCACAGGTGGAGAGTGCTTTCGAGCGTTTTTCTTATAAAACCTTATAAACCTTATTCCTTATAAAACGTCGTTTTTACAGTTTCTTCCCACAGTAAACATAAACAACGATAGTATTCAGGAAGAAAACCAAACATTGCAGATATTTTTATCATAACTCTGGTTTTATGTGGTCTATCAACACAATTTAAAAACTGGTATAACGTCCACACTTTTTCTGTCAGTTGTTACTCTCAAGTGTAAACACGGTGACAGCGCATCAGAAGCACGGCCAAAAAAAGATGATTAACGTGAATTAAAGCTTAAACAAATCTAAAGATATGAAGTAACTAGTATTTCAGAATTATTACTTTTTTAATTGCAGTGAAATCTTACCTTCAATAGACTTGAGAGCAAAATGCAGCATAAAGCTGAGAGAGACACACTGAACCTAAACTCTGCTACATCCATCTACAGTGAGAGGGAGGCAGAAACTGTCTCATGGCAGCTGATAAATGCTGAAAAAGTGCAGCTCTAACAGTGTTAAACATGCATCTCAGTAAAAAGTGCAACATGGACAGGTTTGGGTCTCTGAAATCAGCACAGCTTTAATTTTAGACCCAAAGCTCCACACAGCTGTGGGGCAGGCTTCAGGTCTTTACATCGTATTCTTGCATTGAATGTAAGTTACATTATTCTAAAAGTAAAATAATAATGGTAAATAACACAAAAGAGTACCTGTAACTTCAAAAACAGTGATTAAGAAGATTAAGACAAGCAAAATCAAATCACTGACAGAAAGATTCCTCTGTTTGCAAAGCATGTGGAATCCAAAGTGGATCCTGACTGTCACCGTTTACACGTCAGTTAACAAAAAGGAATCAGTTGCATGCACTTTATCCTTGTTTATAACCTGAATGTTTTGTGCTTTTCCTTCTTTATTTACATGTTCCAATTCATGTATTATAGCTTAGTGGCTCATTTACAACATGCACTGAAAGCTAGCTTGGCTCAGGCTGTAAACACTGTGGAAATGTGGCTTTGGTTAATGCTACAATAATAATAAATGAATTAAGTTAGTAAAAATCTTTAAACTGACACAGAAACTAGAAACTTCTATAGTGAAATGCTCAAACCTGACTAATAGATTCAGCTCAGTTATTTATGATTTAAACATCTGTTTTATTTCCGAACACAATATATATAGACCTATAAACTAAAAGAAATAGCTAAACTCTGATAGCATAATAAAAAAAAAATTGAGCTTCCTTTCTAAACCCCCAACATAATTTTACACAGAAGAGTAAGGCACAATTTTTGGTGCAGTATTTTTAGACTAATTTACACTTGGATACAGCGTCTGCTTTTATTTACAGTGTGAAACATCTGCAACATCAGCCAGTATAACAGACTGCTGCTACATCATCACTGAGTTTGCCACTGTTTTTAAATACTCCCATTAAATTATATTTGTAACTAAAGCAAGTTTAATAATTTGCATCATTGACAGACGCTCAAGGTGCATCGGAAACAAAAATACGACTAACATGAATTAAAGCTTAAACAAAACTGGACTCATATGGCAGAGAAATCTTACCTTCAACAGGTGAGAGAGCGAAAAGCAGCATAAAGGTGAGCTTTAAAGCTGAGAGAGACACACTGCACCTAAACTCTGCTACATCCATCTACAGTGAGTGTGAGACAGACGCTGACTGACAGCAGCTGATAAATACAAGTCTGTCTCTCTCCCTCCGCCCACTTCGCACACATTTAAAGCGCTTATTTTTTTTTGTCCCAGGCCCCCGCTGCCCCCTGCATTTACCTGTTTCCAGGTGCCATTAATAATAATAATAATAATAATAATAATAATAACAATAATGATAATAATACATGCTTACATAAATGTTAGCAGGAATTTTAGTGCCAGAAAAACAGGAAGTTTTCTGCAACAGTAAAGGAAGCCTGAAAAACTCCAAATCAAGTGACGGGAAATTCCTATTAATTACAGTAAACAGTAAAAAGTTAACAGCCCACAAAAATCAAAAGCAGCAGTTAGTTCCTCTTTATTTCGATTTTTAATTAACCTGTAGTTCAAGAGCGCGGGCAAAGAAAATGACAAATATTTACAAATCCCAGCAAGAGTTGCACAACAGCTGAATGACAGAGAAGAAGCAGCTCACCTGTTCAGACAGGAGCTTAATTAGCTGATCGTCACCACCATTCTCTTCATGCAGACGAGAGAAAAATTATAAAACAGGCTGTTTTCTCTGAAAGTGAAAGTAAAATAAGAATAAGGAGCAGTGGCTTCCTGCTGACGTGCGTTTAGTTTCTATTTTGTCTACTCCCGCTTTTAAACATGTTTTTAAGTTTTAGTTATTCTAACTGTGTTTCCAGCGTAATAATCTTAATCCACACACATATTAATTCTCTTTACATCTTATCCGGTTCAGGGACCTGGTTCAGGGGAATAGAGAGAGGGTGGATGGAGTGAAGCCGATGAAACAAGAGTGAAAGGTCTACACATCTACACCCACACTGTAGTGGGTAGGTGTAGATACTCACAGCCAAAGTCAAAGACACAATTCAATGCGATGCAACACTCTTAACGACCACATTTAAAAGAACCTAATTCCTGTCAATGACTGCATCATGGGCGATTTTGCATGATGTCATATTTTTGCACATTTAAATGTCATTATATTTTTAGGTTAATTACCAGAAGTGCATGGTCAACTGCTGCCTGGATGTGAGGCTCCTTTCCAACATAAGCGAGAAGTAAAGATTAAAGTAATGTTGTAAAACACCGTGTGACATCCCAATACACAGAGTCAAATTGCTAATTAGCCAATATTAGCCCGAATACTTTATTAATCCCCCAGAAAATAAGGTGGTCACAGTTGCTCCAAGACTGAACTGTAACTAAGTAAACAAAATGAAATTATTAATACAATATTTTACAAAGTTACAGAAATATAATAAAAAAAAACCCTAAAAAAATACAGATAGCTCTAATTATAAATATCTCAGTGTGTCAGACAAAATTAAATATATATAGGCTACACTGAGGTGTCCGTCTTTTTATACTGATGGATGTGATCTAGAAATGATTTAGAAAACCTGACATTTCTTCAGACATGTATTATGTAGACGGTAAAAGCATTTGGTCATCAAACATTTCTTCACATTTATTTAGAGTGATCCTGAGTTCTCCAGGACTTCTGAGGATCCTTCAGAGTGTTTATTTGGACAGTGGAATGTGTGGAGCAGCCTCAGGTGGTGTGAAGAGGAGGCAGAGTCGCAGATGTGGGCGGGGGAGAAAGTGGGACCTGAATTAAAACATATGAAAAACAGATTACATTTATCCACCCACTCACTCATCCTGATTGAGGATGACTCGCCTAACCTCAAACCCTTACTATAACCCATTCACCACCATGGTCCAAAGAACCACACTCCTGTCAATGAGTGCATCATGGAAATTTCTTATGATGTCACATTACTGTATTCTTTAATGAAATATTTAACATATTTAATGTAAATACTGATTTTATTATGTGTAATAATGAGAAATGACACAGGGAAGAAGTATTGAACACATGAAGACAGAGGCATCTAAAAGGGCATGGAAAGTCATGACACCAGCTGAAATGTATCACTAATTAAAAAGTAATCCTGTCACTTAATATAAATTAATATCAGCTGCTTTCATCCCTATAAAAATGTATCATTAGCAAGGTGCCACACAATAAACATCACATGATGGGTAAAATCAATGAAAAGCTTTACAGCCTTATTGCAAAACATGCGAAACTTACTGATGGCATTGGTTATTGAAGAATTTCTAAACTACTGAAGGTTCCAGTGAGCACTGTCGGGCCCATAATCTAGAAGTGGAAAGAACATCATTTTACCATACCGGGTGCTCCCCACAAGATTTCAGACAGTGGAGTGAAAATGATCAGAAGAGTTGTACAAGAGCCAAAGACCACTTGTGGAGAGCTACAGACAGACCTGGACTCAGCAGGTACAGTTGTTTCAAAGAAAACAAGTAATGCACTCAACCACCATTACCTGTTCTTAGTTAGCCAGCTGTATCCATATGTACAGTACTACATAAAATACAGGGTCATCAAAACCCATTTCTTCACATTTTGTATGGTGTTGAGCAAGAGTTTTCTGAAGTCTTTTACAGTTCTTTGAAAGAGCTGACAAACCTGAGAGATGCATCTGCCCCTTCAGCTCATCCAGCTGCTGTTCACCGAAGCCTCATCAGACATGGTCTCAGTGGAAGGGTGGCTGTCAAGAAGCCATTCTTAAGGAAGGGAGACAGGAACAAAAGGTTTAGGTTTGCTAAATTACACAAGAACTGCACTGAAACTCAGTGACACTGGTCCGATGGAGTGAATGCCATCTGTTTCTGTGTGTCATAATTAGCCTCATCAAAGAGAGGTGGAGTAAAGATTTTCAAAGATCTCATCGGCTTTCAGTAGTGGATTGAATTCAGTCATGGGCACCATTAACAAAAAGAAAAGTTTATAACTGTTTGAATGAAAGTCGTTGCTCACAGTATTTCAGTAACCTTACTGTAACATGATTTACAGTAAGGGTGCAGTAATTAGTGTTGCTAGTAAGTTGTTGACAGGATTTTCCCTTTTTTACTGTGAGACCAGATGAAAGATTGATGTGCTTCACACATGGCGATGCAGCCTGCCTCGTTTCTTTGTGGGCAGCTAAAAGTTTAGAGTTCACAGCTTGGTTGAGACAAAGATTTGAGATTAATGCAGCTCACCTGTAATCTCCAGGTTGCTGGTTAGAGTCCCTGTTCAGATCTCTCTGAGATGACTGTTTTTGTACATGATCTCTGACAAGACCAAACTACTCATGCATAAACTCATATTTAAAATCACTCCTTTGTTCCAGCGCACAGCAGTCACTGCGGGAGTCAATATCGGCACATGTAGGGACAGGTTTCCCAAGCTGGAAAAATTCGCTTGTGGCAGTGGACATTTTGCCAACCATGTAACGTTAGTGCATACAATGTAAGAGCAGGTTTGAACAATGTGTTTGTGAGGCACGTCAGATCAATGAGAGGAATCTGAAGGAGGATCAATACGTCACACATGTAAAGGCAAAGTATTCTGGTATTGTTTGAGACTGTGTGAGTGAATGTGTGTGACCCTGTGTGAAACCCGTGTTACATCTCTGACTATATAGTCTCGTCAACACGCCCACAGGCATTTTGTTTTTTCCAGTGGGTTGTGTTAGAAACTTTTGTTTAAAAACAATTTGGGGCAGACTGTGGGCTGCTCACGTGTCTCGTTATTTTGATTGTAATTTTTTATTTTTTTTATTTTTTTTTGGGGGGGGGGGGGAGACAAAATTAGAAAACTGTTTTAAGTAAAAAAAAAAATATATAAATAATAAAAAATAAAAATAATAATAACAAGGTGAGGTGACAGAGCATTGGGAGGTAAATCTTGTCCTTCAGTAAAAGCATCCTCCAATAACAGCTGAGATTTCACTTTTAGTGAAACTTAAATCTGTAATACGTTTTTTACTTCAGTACAGACATAAATGAATGTGTAAATCAGCCCCTGCTGTACTGCTGTTGGATGAAGCACTGTTGTCATGCTGAGCTAATCTAACAAGCAGCTCAGGTCGGCATGTTTTCAACATTGCTGACCTGTGATGATAACACAACAACACAAGGCTGAACTCCAGCACAGATGTTAGTCACTGAATAAACGATGCAAACACACTGAAATCATTTGCAAATGAACTTTATCTGAGAAGCAATTGTCTGGAAACATTTTGCCTCAAATTTAAGTTTAATTAGTTGGAAAGTCCAAAATAACAAAAGGTTCAAAATATAAAAATCAGTGCGCTGCTGCGCTGGGCCCCGGTCTGGATGGGCCTGGGCCCCCTTTCCCTGGCGGGTCGCGGAGTATGGGAGTGCCTACTGGGGTCAGCGGGGGAGCTGGCCCCAGGGAGGGGTCACCTGCCCCTCCCTTCCTTCCCTCCCCATCTCCAGCTGCCTCCCCCTTCCCGCTCCACCACAACCACCCACACATGCAGGACCTTGGAGTAGGGGTATGTCACCTGGGTGCAGAGGAGCCCCCCCCCCCCCCCCCCCGTCCCCTTCTGGCTGCCTCTGCCTCAATTTTATCCCACAACTTAGACATTCACATTACTCACACTCTCATTACACATACATATAGGATCTTGGGGGTGGGCACGATACACGGAGTCCAAATTACCATCAGGGTGTACACCTCACCCCCGGCGTCGTTGCCCACCTCTCAATTTTAAATACACGTAGACATTGAGGGCTAGCAGGAGGGACCATGCGCTTACCTGCTGCTCTCTGGCAGGTAGCTCCATGCCCTCCTGGGTTTTAAATGCACCTTAGAACACACATGCATCAACACTACAATGAGCGGGTGGAGGGAGGTTTGGAGTCTTCTCTCACCCCCATTCTCTGCGGCCTGCTGAAGCGGGGGGGCTAGGAGGAGGAGTTGGCCGTCCGACTGCGGTCTGGAGTGTGGGGCCTCCCTGCTGTTGCGGAGTCGGGGGGTCTGCTTCTCCCCACCGCAGGGAAAGGGGTAACACCACCTGGGTCTGGGTGCAGTCCCCCCTCCAGGGGCAAGGGTACCTAGACCCGGTTTGTAGAGTACGCTTGGGGAGTGTGATCGTGTGTACAACGTCTATTTATGTCTGTCTCCATGTTGGTTGAGTGTGGAGTAAGTGCATATGAGAGCATGAGGGTGGGAATGGATGTTTGTGTCTGTGTGTGCCTGTATGTCTGTGTCTATATGTCAGGTTGGGTATCAGACGCCACCTCTCTGGGGACATCTCAGGCCCTCCAAGGTTTGGAGGCCTATCTCCACCCACCACCACTTCCCCTGCCAGTGGCGGACTCCCTCAGGTATCGGTGCGTTGGTGGTTCTTTGTGTCCGGGGATGGGCGTCCGGGTACACACCGGCTCACTCCTTGGCGGCCGCTTATCGGAGCCTGGGGCTCGCTCGGGCCACTTCGGAGGTGGGGTGCCCCCAGCCTCTCGGCCTGGGGCTCGGTCACTCAGGCGCAGCTGGCTGCCGGCGGAGCTCACGGGCGCGTCACTGCAACCCCCCCTGGCTTCTGCTCCGCGGCTGCTGAGTGAGCCCTCATCTGGGACTCTCCTCAGCTCTTTCTGGAACAGTGGCGCGGCTGCCCCTCTGTTGGTCTTCCATGGTCTCTTGTGTTCTGGGGGCCTCTGGATGTCTGGAGTTTTGATCTCCTCCATACCTGCTTCATACCCTGGAGGACGGGGCTGGGGCCCCCCCACACTCCCTAGCAGATCATTACATGGAGAAACCTTTGGAATGCAAACATGCTGATCCACACAGGTGTGCACACAGGTGTACACATGGGTATTCACAGACGCGGACTGCAGCTTTCTTGGCTGCTGCCTCAAAGCACATTGTGCGCTGTCTATCTTGCGTGCTGCACAATATTGTTTATTATTTAGTATCTACTGCTAGCTAGTTTATTGTGATGGTGCTGTTTTTTTTACTATGTTGCTCTTTGTTGTTTGCTTTCTCTTCTGTTTTTTTTCTCCATACAGGTGACCCAGGTGTTTTTTTTGTTTTTTTTAGTTTTTTTTTATTTCTTCCCCCCCCTTCTCACCGTCTCTTCTCCCCTTTGGTTTTCTTTCTCTCCCTCTCTTTCTTTCATTCTTTCTCCCTGTCCTGTCCCGTTTGTAGCAACTGAAAATAAAATAAATTCATAATTATAATAAAGGTCAATCAAATGGACCAATATGGCAAGGCCATGATGATCCACTTGGTAAAATAAATCCGCTTGGCATCTTTCTTGGCCTTAAGACTACAATTCTGATGGCTATAGATCCAAACGGGACACAAAAAAAAAATCAAAATAAAAATCAGTGTTTTAAAGAGAAGACCTGCTTTTCTTTAAGAGACATTTTTAAATAGAATAAGGCCTAAAACAACAGAACTATGTATTAGATATTCCTTCCGTAAGAAGGAAGCAGAAAGTTGAGCTTGATAAAAACAATCAGTATGTCAGAGTGACAGTTAGGAACTTTAACAAAACAAACCCATGGAAAGCACCTTTAGCTCCAAGCTGTCCCAAAAGACAAATTAAATACCTACAATCACATCACAGCAAACATGTTTACATGAGTTCAACCTGATCTAGTACTGTTGTAGTCCGCTCTCTAAAGGGCAGAATAAAGTAAGACTTCACCCATAATACAAAACAAAGTGCAAATATTCACTCATATCTCCTCAAAATACAAGATGACTCTAAGGGGCTTTTAAACAGGTTTCATTTTCTTAGTAGCTAAACTAGCATTTCATGTTCCCACAAGCTACAAAAAAAGTTCAAACTAACACAGGCATAAATGCAAGAACAGTTAAAGCACTTCAGATCTAGTTCTCGTGAAAGGACATCCAATTAGACTTAAGTGTTTCTTTGTAAATAACCTCACATGCAAGAGAATTTATATGTGAGGTTATTAAGATTTGATCAAAGTCTCACAAAACAATTTCAGTCTTAGTGCTGCAGTACAACCTGTGGTTCAACCCTTTGGAAGTCAACAGACCAGTCATACAATCTCAGGCACCATCACAGGGATTAAAGGTAGAATTCAGGTCCAAACAAACTGCAGGACGTCATGATATTCACCTGCTGCAGGCCCACTGTGCCCACAGGAGGCTAGAAAAGTTCTTCGGCTCCTCAAACAAATAAAAAACATCTCAAAGTAAGTAAGAAGTTGGCACTTTCTCCTCTCTTAATGTTTCCAATGTGCCCATGAGCAAGGCATCAAAATTTTAGGTCCTCACGCTTTTAAAGTTTGATCCCACAAGTTGAATTTGGCAAAAAGGATGGTTGTTGTTGACTCCAAGAAAATTACAGGACATAGTGAAATCCTCCTGCTGCAGAGCTGCTGTGTCCACATGAGGCTGGAAAAATCAATGCTTTTAATTAACGTTCAAGTAAAGTGGGTGATGCTTGCGCCTCTGTTAATGTTTCCAATGCGTCCACCTACAAAGCTGCACTCGCAAGCTGGAGTAACAAAGAACAGACACACAAACAGTTTTCCTTAATTTCCATCCTTCAGCCATGAGGTAAATGCATAAATATTTAAGATTTAAGGCTTACTCATACTTCTGTTTTTCAATGCTTCAACTCTGTGAACCGGTGTCCTGCGACTGCGACACAGAGCAGAATAAAAACACAGAAAACCACAAGTGGGATCAGTCGGCTCCGACGGGACAAACCACCTGCCAAACAGAGATGAGATCTACTGTAAGACACAACATGACATGTTTTGACATGACATGTCACATTTATTAAACTATCAAGCACAGACGTTACCTGAAGTTACATAACAGTGAAATGAAGTTAGAATTACTGAGATATCAGTCCTGATGGTCACTTTAGTGCTACAAGTCCCAGAATTCTCAGAGCAGCAAACATGACTTTGTCAAAAACCACAGGAGAATAACTGATACATTTACTGCTTCACAGAAATAAATAAAGAGATCTGCAGAGCTGCTCCCAGGATATTACACTACACTTCCTGCATCTACTTCAAAGTAAAGCAGCGCACATTAAACATTTTGAGGACTACACAGAGAGGCTGCCATCAGTGAGAGAAAACTGCATCATAAAGGTGATTTAAATCCATTTCAAGACTTTTTAATTGTCTTGATTTGTTCCTCATGTTCTCACCTTTACTGTGAAACTCGTCCTCAGGAGTTTGGAGAGTTTCAGGATGCAGTGGCGTCTCTGTTGTCATAGTTTCAGCTGAATATAAGATTGTAAGAACATTTAATTATTTACAATAAAATAATATCCAGAAGTCTTTAAGGAGCAACAGCAAAATAAGTTGTTGGTAAAATAACCCAAGCACACCAGTCTTTAAGGCAAGTTTGTAACCAAACAACAAAAATCTTTTCAGTCTGACTCACCAACAATCAGATGAACAATTGAAGACTGTATTTGACTCTTTAACTTTGGGATGAAACATCTGTATCTTCCTTCATCTTCTTGTGTCACATTAGTGATTCTTAGTGAGATGTTTCCTTCTCTCAGGCTGTCTGTGAACAACGCCGTCCTCCCGACGTATGATGGGATCTTCATGTCGGGGACCTCTCGGGCATCTCTGTAAAGATGAACATATTCCACTCGACTCAGACGGTCGTTGGGGTCAGGACGACGATCGGGCCTCGACCACTCCACCGTCAACCCCGCCACATTAAACTTTGGCTCCACGCGACACGGCAGGATGACATCATCACCTGGAGCAGCCAGGATAGGCTGAAGTGATCCGACCACATCAAACTCACCTGAGGAGGAGAAATAAATACACACATCCTGCTTAAAAAGTCAAGTATTTTCAAATAATCATTTACTGGTGTTGTCCTTGCAAAAATAAATAAATATAAAAAAAAAAAATATATATATATATATATATATAGATATATATCTATCGATTGATCGATAGATATATATCATTGTTTTAAATTGCTTTGTTAAATTAAATGTTGTATATATATATTACTGTATCCATACATACAGGAACGCTTCACATTAGAATATAAATCTCGTTTAGTTAGATCATCAAACCCAACTACATGTGCGAGCCATCCTATGTATAGCTTTATAGCTTACCTTCAAGAGACACGATGGGGGAAAGCAACAACAAGAACGTGAATATAGTAGAAACACTGACACTTGACTCTTCTGTGTCCATCTTCGACAGGACTATGTGACTGCAGAGCAGCTGATGAATGACCGGTCTGTGGGCATGTTGGAACTAATCACGTGACAAAGATTGAGTCATGCTCTGGGCCATGAGTCAGCTGCCTGCCAACATTATGTCACGCGTCGACGTGTTTTCAGGTTAAACATAACCGTTCCGTGAGAATAAAGTAATTTTAATCTTACTTTTAAAGAGAGGTTTGGAGTGCTGTAATATTTTAGCCAATGCGTAGAAGATGTTATACATTCAGACAGGAGCGGTTTGAATCCAGGAAGCGCTCGTTCTCATTAATGATCAAACAGTAGATCAGAGCAGAAGCGGCTCACCTTTTCAGTCAGAAGCTTCATTAGCTGATCGCGACCATCGGGTTCTTTATCGAGGGGAGAAAACTTTATGAAAAACCGTAGTGATGGTCCGCCTGAAGCTGACGCACCGGTGCGTGTGTGTGCAACGGTGTGCAAGGGAGAGAGAAAGACGAGGAGGAGGGAGTGGCTTATGTTTCCCTTCCAGGTTATGCTTCTTTTTAAAAAATACATTATTATTATTATTATTATTATTATTATTATACTTTCATGTTTCCATACATACTCATGTCTTTTTTTCTTCATTTTCGTCTGCTTGTCCAATTCAGGTTTCGGGAGGGTGGAGTGGTGGAGCCTATAGCAGCTATCATAGTGCTCAGAGGTGGATTACACACACTTAAATGCCGTGTTTAACAATCACTGTCTAGTCCTCCTCCACCTGATCTCCTAACAGCGATGAGAATCACTTTTCTTCCAGTCCTCTGCTTCCTGACGTATGGACAGAGGTGAGGACTTTTAACACATGGTCATTATTTCTAAAGCTCCATTGTTGGGTCACTAACACCTGAGGCATGACACCAACAGTAATCGTGTATGTAATAACAGAGAGAAGGAACAGAAAGGTGAAACCTTAGAATAGGACAAACTGGCTTCTGAGAAGTCTGAGCTGGAACAAAATGCCAACATTCAAAGTCAATTACAAGAAGTGCTGTGTAAGGTGGGGCTCTGAAGTTGTGCGATTTGAGTTCCCAGGCACAAACTGCAGTGTGTGCAGGGAATCATCAGCTCATCGACAAAGGCTTTCCTGTGTCATGGTTTGGCTGATTAAGGCCTCTTGATGGACTGCCTAATCTAAGGATAATGTGTGGACTCGTTGAGCTTACTACCACTGGGACCCAGTGTATCCAGATCCGAGTCATGCTGCAAATATGTTTTAGATACTCTGTTTTCAGTTTAAAGTTGCAGTCAGCGACAAGCACCTGACTCTGGTTTGTGTGGTCTGACATATTTAAAAACCACTTTGCCTTTTTTCTGGTGAAGGTCATCGGGAGATGGTTGTGGGCAGTTTTTAGGTTTCATGTTAAAAACTGTTGTAACCCTGTTTCAGAAGGGTTCAAACTGAACAGATGAAGAAATGAAAGGTACAGTTTAATTTGCTTTTAGAAAATGTTATTTCTATAAATCAAAGAAATCAAACTTTTATCTGATTATGTAATCTACTTGTGTGTGTCTAAGTGTTCTTATTTCCCTTCCTACACATTGCAATGTCACAAAATTCAGAGCTCTGCCTTACTCGTCCAGTGTGGATGTTGGGTGCGATCACTTTATTTCTGCTCAGGTGCCTTAAAGCTGTCATGTCTGGGCCTCCTCTACCTCATCTCCTGACAATAAGTCTGAGTCACCTCCCATAATCCTGAGTAACATCCATCCTGCCTCTGTCAGCCCTTTCCTTCCTAAAGTATGGACTAAAGTTGAAAATTGGAGTTAGTGAGTTCCTTTCACTACAAAATTTTATTTTGAAAGGGGTACGATTACTGTACATTTCACAAATCCTGTTAAACTGAATTTAAAAAGTGTGTGTGTGTGAAAGCTTACCTCCAATGCTTTCATCCCGCCTAACTGATAAGAAGGAATATGACGGAATATATAAATGCTGTATGATATTTATTCCCTTTTTATCGCTGTCACATGCAGCGTGGTAGTTTGTGCAGAACACTGGGAGTACAAAAGCTTTCTGATGCTGAGAACCACAGCTTTAATAAAGAATGGACTGTTAAGTGTTCATTGAGTGTGTCGCTGTATGTGTCTCTGTCCCTACGGTGCATCGACTTCCTGCTCATACCAGCCATCCCTGCAATAGATGGACTACTGTAGAATACAACAGGAAATTCCTTTGCAACATCTACAGCTTCTGCTGAACTACTCACTTATTTTTTTCTACAAGCCCATCCAAATATAGCAACCACAAACCAGCAATTAGAGGAAATGTAGGATAAATTTAGCACATACAGATTAGGCAAAGAGGATGTTTAACCTCACTGAACTTCTTCATTTGGCCAAAGACTAAGATAGCTGGTTTACTAACACACTCTTTATATTTACACATATTTTAAAATAGCATCAGCTAAAATGTAACTGCACATCCTCCATAGAGTGATGAACATTTACTTTATTTCTGCTCTCCTACTCCCCTCTTACAGAATAATATATTGTATATATTCGATTGTCATTTAGACATGATGATAGTATTTGGAGTCACAGAAGAGAAAACTCAGCAGAGCTGTTCCATGAGTCTTTAACTCAATCTGTGAGTTTACATCATCATCTGAATGGATGCCAAATTTGTATTTTTTTTTATTCTAGTACTGTCTGTGTGTGTAAACTCCAGAAATTAAGGGATATCACATAAATATCTGGAAAAAAAAGACATTGACGTTCTCCTTTAAGTGTTGTACAAATCACCTTCCCACAGTGTGTCAATTGAGCTTCATGCAGGATTGAAGTTTTCTCCTAATAACATTGTGCTATTTGAATTCAGAGTTTAATAAATATTCCATAACTTCACTTCATTGTGATACACTTCTTGGTAAAGACAGTAAACATTTGAAATTTGTGGTATCGAAGATGAAACTGTGACATACATCCTCCACAAATAGGTTTACAAAGCCGCTCTGACACTGTGAGCTCACCAACTCTGTGCACCATTATTGAGCCAAATGTGTGAAAAGTCAATCATGTGTCTGTGTGTGAGCATCTGGTTTTGCATTTTATAAATAGATGTAGCAACAAACTGATCAGCCTGTGATGTTTTACTTCAGAATACCAGAGGAAGCACGTCTCTGTATTTCATATGAATTCACAGGAGACTCATTTAAATGCTTTACAATAAATGATTTAAATAGCTGTACAAAAAAAGACCATTACAGGTTTGTTTACCACAGAAGTTTACTTTGTGATTACTATGTTACTATGATCATTTTTTATAGTTATGGTTTCAGTCTCATGGTATTAGTCTTCCTTTTTATCCTTAACTCAATAAGTTTTGGTTCATTTTGATTCACTCGAGCTCATTTAGACATTTACCTACAAAATGCTGATTTAAGTTAGTGTGTAAACTCACTGCTGGATGGCAGTTGATTGTACTGAACTGACTTCTGTTTTATTACCCCTCCCAACTTAAGCGCAAAATTGTAGCTATGGGGTCCTCTGTAGGACACACATGTATTAATCAGCCAGAAGACATCAGAAACATTAAATTTAGACTGTTCCCATAATGGAATAATAAGGAATAATAAGTCATAGTCAGGAGGTCAAGTCCATCCCTCTTAAAGTGACCTCCTCCATTACAGCCACTGTTGTTGTGATTTTATATAAATAAAAGTGACTTGAATAGAAATGATCTGATTATGTACTCTACTTGTGTGTGTCTAAGTGTTCTTATTTCCCTTCCTACACATTGCAATGCCACAAAATTCAGAGCTCTGCCTTACTCGTCCAGTGTGGATGTTGGGTGCGATCACTTTGTTCCTGCTCAGGCACCTTAAAGCTGTCATGTCTGGGCCTCCTCTACCTCATCTCCTGGCAGCAACAAGTCTGAGTAACATCTTTCATGCCTCCCTCAGCCTTTTCCTTCCTGACATATGCAGAAAAGTTGAAAATTGGAGTTTTATTTTCACTTTCACTTTGTCCTTCTCACATGAAAAAGAATAGGTTTCATGAAATATAGTAAATGTTAATTAATCATTTCTGGGTTTATGGGGTAAATATGATACTCAGAGTTGTTTGGTGGGAGGAAACCATTTAGTATTAATAACTAGAGCCTGGCTGCAATCAGAATCTACACTGGAATCAACAATAATAATGGCGAATAAACGAAAAATATAATAATGGAGTAAAGAAGAGACAGAAGGAACGCTCTTAAAATATAAGTGTTGATGTTGCATCGCTGGTCCACTAGAGGGCACTCTGCAACTTGTCATAAACACAAACCAGCTGAATCATGCAGAGCATATGTGTAACCCAGGACTTGTTGTGACAATTAAATTATATAGCTAAAATTGTTATATAGCTAAAAAATTCAACTAAAAATTAATTAACAAGCATTTTAAATGAAAACAAAATTGTGTGATCTCTTGTTTGTTGTGGTTAGTGGTATGCTCAGGCTTTGGTCTTCAGTAGTTGTGGATGCTCCATGGCTCTGTCCTGAAAATCTGAGTTTGACTTGATCTGCTTGAACAAACTCAGTTTGTGGGATCATAAGACGATTTTTTCTGCAATATTGTCGAATTTAAAAAAAAGAAAAAAAGAAGAGGTGTTTACTTTATCCTAATTAAATGCATTATTTATTCCAATACAGCCTATTAATAACCCTCCTGAGCCTATATTTGGAGTAAGTCTTTTAAGTTCTCATCTGAACTCCATATTATTCTGTACTGGCCTGATTTCAAGCAGCAATTACTACAGCAAGACAGCTCCCTAGAAAAAAGATCCAGCTTTACCCCCAGTCAGATATGCACACTGTTAGACCTCTATGTTACCACCATGAATTGTAAATACAACGAGGCCATGGATTTGCCATGGGCTGCCCCGTGTTACCTATTGTAGCCAACCTTTACATGGAGAAAGTGGAAAGTAAAGGCTTTTTAAAAGAACAGCACCAAGCTGCTGTTACAGGTATGTGGATGACGCCTGGGTCACAATCAAAACCTAAGAAGTAGAAGCCTTTACTGTTCACATCAACTCAGTGGATAGAAATATAAAGTTTCCCAGGGAAGATACAAAGGATGACAGTTTGCTATTTCTGGAATGTGCTTTGCACCTTGAGCAGCATGGAAACCTCAACATTGAAGTTTACCAGAAGCCTCCACACACAGAGCAGTACCTCCTCTTTGACTCCCACCACCCTCTGGAACACAAACTTGGAGTAATCAGGACCCTACAGCACTGGGCAGAAAATGTTCCCTCTAAGCCAGATGAGAAAGAAAAGGAACACACACATGTAAAGAAAACTCTTAAAACATGTGGAAATCTGAGCTTTCATCAAATCATCAAAGATGCACAGAAAAGAAGATCAGGGAAGACACATGGTTTGAAAGAGGAGTGAAAGAGGCCATCTATGTCTACTGTGAAAGGCCATCCTTGAACATAGACACTAACTGTTTGCTACCTACAATCCAGTTTTGAGACACATCTCAAACCTTCAAGAAAATTAAAGAATTCCAGTGGCTTTCACAACTAAAAAAACCCCCAAAACTTTTGTGCACAGTTTTTTCTGTTTAACATTTTTCAACCGTGAAGTAAGTGCGTAAAATCAAACATACATAAACATATACCTTTTTAATAACACCCCGGCCTATGTTTGGAGAAATAGATCCACCTAAACTCCAGATACACATATAAATTATTCAGTTTTGGCCCAAATTAGAAAGCATTAGAACCTGATGAAGCAGTTAGTTTTTATGTCTGGATTGGCTGCAAACATAAAGTTTATACAGAATCACAGAAAGGAAATGAAAACAATATGATGGGATATGACGAAACACGGTGGATGTGAAATTTCACCCAACAGATACGTTTACAGTTTCAGTGAAAATGAAATCTACTACAGATTATGATGTAAGGTATAATTCTTCGTAGATGATAAATTCGTTTCTGTGATATCTTTATAATTCAGTACCGTCATAGAAGAAAGCATAAAGCAGCCTCTGCTCACTTTTAGATAAAACACTGGTGCCATAAGCTAACACAGTGCTATGACCTATGTGCTGACTTCACATTCTCACCCACATTACTCATCCATGATTCCTTGATGCTAACACAACATAAGATGCCTATCATGTGATGTAACAGCTGAACTCCAGAACAGATTTTAATCACTGAATATATGACGCAAACACACTGCAATCACTTGGAAATGCACTTTATGTGGCTGTTTTTTGTTGCATGAAACCGAATAAACACTGTTTCAAATATCACATAAATTCATTTGATAATGCAGGAGTGACAAGAGTTTCAAACTTCAAAAATCAGAACAATCGTTAAAAAAAAAGACCAATTTTCTAAGAATTTAAATATGAAGAAGCTCAAATAAACAGAACAATGAATATTTAACTTTGATGATATTGGCTCTTTTCTCCATAAATATAGCTGCGTGGCTCAAAAGCCCGTTAATTGTCAGTGTTAAGTAACTGAAAAGCACTTTAGAGTTCAGAGGATGGAAAAGTTCTTCCTGATAAAGGAAACATACCTCTAAAATGACATCCAAATACTGAAATCCTAAAACTGAAATCCTAAAACTGATACAGAAACAATGTGTCATTATAAGAAAACTAAGAGATGAAAAAGCACCTACAGCTCCAGGCTGTCTCAATACATTACTGCTGGATTTGACTCTTTAAAAAAACACAAACACAAAACTCCCCTCAGTTCCCACCAATCCTCAGTTTTTAATATATCCTGCAAGTGTGTATATATGCAAAACACTGAAGTCACGCTATATGTAGTGCAAAGTTATGTGAACAGGGCTAAATCTTTCCTTGTGAGCAAAATAACTTAACATAAAAGTAACAAAAACAAATTCAGCTTTAGTGTCGACATGTAAAACACAAAGTGCTGCAACACATCACTTCAACAGATTTAAAGTAACCGTATACTCTGAAGCCAGAGTTCAACTTTGGCTCAGATGATGGATCCTGTTTCTGCACTCGAAACTACTTGACATCAGCTGACCAGTCGCTGAAGACACGGTCATCATTTACAGGAGTTAAAGTTCATTTGGGTCCAAACAGATTATGGGACACGTCCACTGTGTCCAGAAGAGGCTGGAAGAGTTAATGCTTCGAATCTTCAAACACATATGAAAGATCCGCAGGTACGTAGGCAGCACTCTTCTCTGTTAACAGTTCCAATGTGCCCTTGCACAAAGCAATTAGATTGGACGTTTCTTGAGCTGGAGAAAGATTTTTTTAATCACTTTTGTGTACAGTGATATTTCAAATATTTCAAACATGAAGTAAATGCATAAAAACAAATATTTAAGACTTTAACATACTTCTGCTTTTTGTGACTCTGTGATCAAACATCCTCCAACTGCGAAGCACAGAAGAATAAACACACAGAGAACCACAACTGGAATCAGTCGGCACCGCTCGGACGAACCACCTGCCAGGAAAAACCAAACAGAGATGAGACCAACTGTAACTGTCAAACTCACGAAGTTACACATTTTTATATTTCAATATTTTATTGATAGAAATTTTATGTCTAATCATCAGAATCAGAATACTTTATTAATCCCTAAGGGAATTATATGAAGTTTAATTTTTGGTAGACGATAAGTTAGTTCCTGTGATGTCTTTATAATTCAGTACAGTCATGAAATAAAGCATAAGGCAGCCTCTGCTGCACTTTTAGATACAACACTGATGTCATAAGCTAACACATAGCACTGCTATGTGCTGACTTCACATTCTCATCCACCCATATTATGGGTACCAATATAAGATAACAATTATCTTATATTGGTATATTGAAACTGTCTTTATAGTAGTAGAATCATAAAATCACTTTCTTTTTCAGTCCACCAGATCTTGTTGTTGACCTTTTTGGGACATTTTTTGTGAGGTCAGCAAAGGTGGAGATAAACTGTATTATTTGACAATGATGAGATAAAGATTTCGCACATGGATTTGCAAAAGACCTGCATCTGCACTACAATGTGGAAAGCAAAGGCTTTTGTTACAGGCTTAGATCTAGCTGTGTGACAGTGTTACAATGATGAGAGCTGCATTAAATTTGGCATGCATAGAGGTCTGCTCATTATCTCGCAGAACACCGGCAACCACTGCCTTACAATCATAATACACGTACTCGTGTCGTAGACCACACATGTATTCAGCTAAGTTGGATTAATATGAATGGTTCAGTGTCTCAGGCACTTGCAACATTTATGGTAGGTTCCACATGACCCAAGAGCAAAAAAGTGCTAATTTCAAGACTTTTTCATATTCTGTATTGGGTGTATGATGGTCTCATGTTCTCACCTTTATTATCTATCTCTTCATTTAAATCAGGAACATGGAAATTTTCAGGACCCAGTTGTGTCTCTGTTGTCCCAGTTTCAGTTAAACTTGGGTCTGAAAGAACAAAATAAATTAAATAAAAATATGTATTTATCATCCATAAATTAGCTGATATAACTAAAGTCATTGGTCTTATAGGTTTTTAATACTTTTGAGAAAAAATAAACTGAGAAAAAAAAGATTTTATCAGTCTGACTCACCAACAATCAGACGAACAATTGAAAACCTTGTTTGACTCTTTAACTTCGGGATGAAACATCTGTATCTTCCTTCATCTTCTTGTGTCACATTAGTGATTCTTAGTGAGATGTTTCCATCTCTCAGGCTGTCTGTGAACAACGCCGTCCTCCCGATGTATGATGGGAGCTTCATGTCGGGGACCTCGTGGGCGTCTCTGTAAAGATGAACATATTCCACTCGGCTGAGCCGGTCGTTGGGGTCAGGACGGAGGTCCGGCTTTGACCACTCCACCGTCAACCTCGCCACGTTAAATGCTGGTTCCACTTGACAGGGCAGGATCACATCATCACCTGGAGCTGCTACAACAGGCTGAAGGGATCCAACCACGTGTAACTGACCTGAGGGACAAAAAGGGAGATTTTAAACCTGATATAAATCAAATCAACATGCAACCAATTAGGCCTTGTTTATATAGCACTTCTCAGACAAATCAGATGCTTTTGAAAGAGCTTTTCAAGTGATAGAACGCCCTCCTACAACAGTCATCTTTCTGATTCATGTTTTAGATAACATCAGGCTTATAACTGTCCACTTTTCTTCTTAGTGAAGTGAACATATCATGCATTAACAACACACACACACAAATCTTTGTGCAATCTGTCTTGGCATTTATTTAATCTCAATGTTGCTCAGTTGCTCCTAAATTCCAACCAAACACTGGCCCAGTCCCATCTCCACCGAAAGTCTAATCACTAAGGCCTAATCACTTAATCCTCACAGACTTTACTGACTCAAGAGGCAACTGACATAAGACCTTGAGGGTTCAAATCACACCTCTGGTATAAGTACAAAATCTCATGCAGTTATACTTATATATGGTATAGAAAACATGTGTTCCTAAGATTTAAATAGGCCAGTGGTACCCAAGTTATAGTAATACAGATTCCAATTCTTTGAGCCTATCCCAGCTAAACAAACTGCTAATGAAAAGGTTCGAGTCAAACATGCAGTCTTAGTATTTCTTCTTCTAACCATGCAAGTATGTAAGTTCATTAAAAAAAAGAAAATAAATCTGTCTAAGATTTTAAAAATGTTTCCAATAAACTTTTCATTCATCAATTTTCATTTCTTTTTTTTCCCCTTTCTTTATTCAAATCAGGCAACAAAGTATATATCTCATTTACATTGACATAGTTTTTTTTTCTTTTTTACCCCTTTTCCCTTCCCCTCCCCTCTTTTTCCCCTTCCCCAATTTTCATTTCTTAAGGGAGTGATTGTGATAGATGAATAATTTATGGGTTATTCAAAAGAAAAAAAGTAAAGCAACCAAATATTTTTAATGAAAAACAAAATCAACAGAGATTTGTGGACAATGCTTTATATCAGTTCAATTCAGCCAAATATTTTTCAGTGATTTGTATTACGAGGGTAAGATTTGACCAATCAAATCCAAGCAGCCTACTGCCACCAAATATCAATAGAAGTAAACTGAAACGTTACACACAGGCATCACAGCATCTAACGTCATTAGTATCAAAGATGCTGACATGTTTACTTTTTTTTTGTCTCCATAGAAATTAAAGGGATTGCCTCAGTCATGTTTATTTAATTGGCTACGATAACAGTACAGCCGCATAAGTCTGACAGGTCTCTAAGAGCGCTACATACGAAAACACTTCCATAACACACACACACACACACACACACACACACACACACACACACACACACACACACAACACGTGTGTGTGTATATATATATATATATATATATATATATATATATATATATATATATATATATATATATGAGTAGCAATAATATTTGGCTGCAAAGCAAGGATACCTTACATGTACTTTAAAGCTTACCTTGAGCAAGCCTGAAGACGAAAAAGAGCGGAAAGACGACTATTAGAGTTGAGATAGAAATCCTGTAACTGAACTCTCCTACGCCCATTTTAATATGACAGTAATGCAGAAAATAATTAAAGCATCTCGAAACCAGCTGAATATAAGTCTGAACACGAGCTATAAATACATGAGGGGCGTGTCCTAACAGGTGAATTCCCCAGAAACACGTGCTTTTACGGTGATTAATTGTACAGTATCAAACTTCAAATGGAGAAAGTAAGTGAATATTTATCTCTACTTTTACTGAACTTGAAGTTTGAGAAAGCGAAAATTGAACGACACATGGGTGAATATAAAAACCAAACTTCATAAGCAGCTGTGATATCACAGAGAAGAGACTCACCTGTTCGGATCGCAGATTTGTAAATTCACGGTGACCATCGGATTCTCGGAGCAGTGTTTATAAGAAAACTACTTTATTTGGTAAAAGAGAGAGACCGTGGAGCAGCTGCTGCCTCGTTGGTAAAATGAAAGTAAAAAGATCAGAGGAGCGGCAGCAGGGATGGGGGAGGTTACGAAATCAAACACCTCCGATCCTCATTTTTAGTGAGCAACAGCGGGCAACAACTGAATGCAGTAGCTGCTGAAAGGATCAACATGCAAAGGCCTCACATGGTCCAAGAATGAGCTCCTCTGTCTCCACCGAGTCTGTACTATGTGTGCAGTTTGTCTTTCCTCATGGATGCAGCCATTCATTTAAACTTTATTTGCTTTTATCTTGTCTATGTGATAAATACGAACACGCTGCCAGTGAAACATCAGTGCACCACGGTGTTTATTTGTCGGTATCACCTTGTGTTCAAACATCCTTGTCAGCTGGGACTTTTCTGTGTGGGGTTAAATAGAAGTTGTAGTGGATTTCCATTTCATAGAAGCTCTGCTTTTTCAACCTGGCTGGGATGTGAGAGTGTGCGGTTGCACGTCTCTGTGTGTTAGCTTTATGTTAGACTCACATCCAGTAAACTCTCACCAAAAATGTATTTGAAACACCCACAACTTCTCCTTAGTTGTGAGCTTGACTTTCTAAAGCCCATCCTGCAGGTTCAAACTGGACTTTAGAGGAACTGGTACAGAGATTCACCACAAACCACATCTGTACACGTTAACACTAGATTTACTAAACCTGCCAAGGAAATTTGTTTTGGAATTTTTATGCTGGTAAGTATGGTAAGTGTGGCCACAGGCCAGATGATTTGGAACTGTACAGTTTAGATGATTTAAAATACCATTATTATCTGTTATATACACACCATTCTGCATTTCATCAGTAGCTATTATTCGTCTCTGACTCTCTTCCACAGTGTGTCTGTGTCTCAGCTTCTTCCGCCAATCCCAGCTGGTCATGTCAGATGGCTGCCCATCCCTGAGCTTGTTCTGCTGGAGGTGTCTTCCTGTTTCTTTTTTCTTCCCACTGTTGCCACGTGCTGGATCATAGCGGTCAGCTGATTGTTGCGGTTTTCTCTGGGCTATTGTAGAGTCTTTACAATAAAAAGCATCTTGAGATGATTGTTTTTGCAATTTGGAAAAATATAAAAAAAATTGTAATTGAACTGAATTATCTGCTAAAGTATGACTGCACATCCCACATGTTATTATGTAACCCACTGCTACGCAATAGTATATTATGTCAGTTAAAAGATAAAAGGAGCAACAGGAAGAATAAGACAACAAACATAGATGAAATCACAGAAAAGAGCTGTGGATGTTGGTATCTTTAATCTCTGAGATGAGTTTTCCTCCATAATCTCACAAATATGAGTAATCACTCATATTTCAAGTGAGGTTAGTTAAGTTATTTACTTAGTAACCTGAGTAAACCAATATTAGAAAAAAACGGATACATTTGGAGAGAAATTTGTCTCAAAAGTGTTAGAAAGTTGCTTAAATGGATGTTTACAAATGTGCCCAGTGATTTGTGTGTAACTTTTGAGGACCCGCACATGTGTGTAATGCAAATTTCTCTCCATAGATTTAGGCCAGCGATAGGGATGGGTATTGATAAGATTTTAACGATTCCGATTCCATTTTCGATTCTGTTTAACGATTCGATTCTTTATCGATTCTCTTATCGATTCTTTTTTTTTTTTTTAAAAAAAGAGAACACTAAGGTCGATTAGCTCAGAGCTTTGTTTTATATCTTCTCTTTGAACAAGATAGAAATTTAGGAGTAACATGGCCTTACAAACCCAACAGTGAGATCTTGAGAGATCCAGCCTACGGCTCTTCAATGGGGTGTCACAGGGTCCCCAGGAAAAAAAAAGTGTAAATGTAAAATAATAAAATAAATATTCTTGTGAGACATATCACATATTGACGGGGTCGGGTTATGTTAAAAAGTATAAATTGTTATACTTTGTTCATTGGTTCAAAGGTACCCCACACTTCTTTTTTTGTTTGCTTGTTTGTTCTGGTGTATTTTTCATTTGAACTGTTACTCTGCCAGAGTACTCATATTTACAAGATGGCATTGAACGCCCCATTGGTGTATCAGGAAAACTATTTTGTACGTATGTTCCTTGAAGGGGATTGAAGTCGTTCTTTTTTCCACCGCAGCGAAGGGCTAGGAGTAGGAGAGGAGCTGCTGTATGTTTTTGTTATCGAATCGATCTGATTGTGAAATAAAGCATATGCAGTGAGAAAGCAACTCCAGGAGTCATCCCTGCCTTAAAGCTGCAACATTCTTCTGTAGCAATAACAAAGTATAACATAAATTGTTCTGTGGCAATTACACAAGAATATCCAGTAATGTCCCTGCCTACAATTAAACACATTCACTTACCAAAAATCGGGGGCATCTGCTGTGGCAAATGGGTGCAAGCCTTTGACCACAAACTTAGACACTGCTCGGTGACATTAGTCTATCCTGGCCTGAAAGGAGACGCTACCGGTAGACTGCAGCGAGAACTGCCAGCGAGCGCCAGCCAGACTCTGTCTGTCTCTCTCATCATGGTCACCTACATGTACAGTAATGGCAGGTCTTGTAATAAGGCAGATTGCGCTAACATAATATGCACTGTTAGTTGATTATTTACCTGCCGCATTAACGGGAGAGGACGTGCAAACGTTACCGCTGCTGCTGGGTTGAGAGTCACGAGTCCGGAGCGGAATTAAAAACGCGTGTCATCGCGTGTTTTGTGAGCAAATGCTTTTGCATATTCGTAGTGTTTCCTCCCTTAAATGAAATATCTACTTTGCAAGTTGCCCTGTTGTCATCGGTTCTCATAAAGTATAATCAAACTTTTGAGCGTTTGAGCCGCTTAGGCGCCGTGTTTCCTGCCAGGTAAATGACGCTCCGCAACGTGGTGACGTCATTCGGGGCGACTGGAATCGATAAGGGAATCGTTTGCAAAAATGGCAAACAATTCCAAGGACTTGAAACAGTGGGAACCGGTTCTCAACAAGAACCGGTTTTCGATACCCATCCCTAGCCAGCGACCTGTGTCTGGTGAGGTTAACATTTAGTTCAGCTGTTGTAATGTTGTAATGTCTTCACTAAATGTCTCAACCTCTGCTTCATACATAAATATAACTCCTGAAATACACCCCGTGTCTTTAAAGTCACGTCTCCAGCAGTTGTGTCTGATCATCACCTGCTCTGTATCACAGCAGTCGCTGAATTGCTTCAGAAACAAGGCCCATGGGCTGCATTGAGTCTTTTCATTGAAGAGTAATTAGATTCCCTTAGTTCCTGCTTGACTTTACTCTTTTAACAAGGTTCCCGTAAATACAGACTCAGCACACTTTGAAGCAATGGAGTAAAAGATGCTTTTGAAACACACCACACCGCCTCTGATGGAAGTTTCACTGCTGCAGCTGTGTTTTGCCTGGTATATTTCAGTGCTTGTACAGTAGGGTCAATAAGTGTTATATGTTTTAAGACAGGATTTTTTAAATTGTATTCATATATATATAAGTACCCAAAATGATACTTTGGGCACCTTTACCATTCAATCAAAACTTAAGACTTTTGCTTTCTCACCAGTATGATTTCAAACGAATCTCTCTGTAACTAACTGAAACCCTTTTGACACAAATGCGTAGAGGTTTGAAAGAACGCCAACCTAGTGTGTGGGAGTGTGCAGAGTTGTTTAACTCTCTATCCAACTCAAAGCAAACACTGCCGACACACACCAACATAAAGCTGCTTGGAAATAAATAAATGAATAAATATATGCAGATACATACATATATATGTTTGAAATTGTACTGGTGAGAAAACAAAAGTCTTAAGTTTTGATTGAATGGAAAAGGTGCCCAAAGTATCACTTGTGATAGTGAGCCTCATCAAGCCAGGCGCTCTGGGAATTTTGCTGGCAAACCCTGCGTTACAGTTACCTAATGAAGTCAAATCTGGAGTTTTTGGGGGCGCTGAGGGAAATGCTTTTAGTTGTGCCATTATTGAAAAACCAAACAAAAAAAAACTTTAGGGGATATCTGCTTTTCTTACCAAAATCCTGCCAGTAACCTGACTCACTTCCAAAGTCTTGTGTCATGAAACTTCTTTTGCAACCTGCACGTGCAAACTGCACAAATCAACAAATGCAACTTTAATATAACAGTAACATACGTCCAGACATCAAAATAATTAAATTTCTTCTCTAAGTTTTATGCAATGTTTGAAGATTGTTATGCAAGATTTAAGTTTTTCTGCATGAATCTCAGGGCTGTTTTGATTCAGGTCTAATACATTATTAATATACTTCAGGTCTTCAGGGTGAAGAATGTAAACATTTTGCATTTGTGGTTTCAAAAATAAAACTGTGACATACATCCTGCATAATTGTCTTTTTCACTAAGTCAGCACTGAGGTGTGATGCAGCCCCTCCGAAACTCTTCAGTCTGAGAGTCGAACACCAGCCAAGCAGCATGGAGATCACAGCTCTGTGCACAATTATGGGTGAGTACTAGAATGTGTCAAGTCTCCAGTGAGTCTGTGTGTGGGCTTTAGCTTTTGGCTTTAATGAACAGATGGATTAATAGTTCAGCCTTTGATCTTTTCATAACATTAAAGAGAAATCAAGTTTTTGTATTTCACATGAATTCAAACATACTTTACAATAAACTGCAAGCTTTGTGATTATTTGATATTACAAGGTAATTGTTACTTTATAATCGTTAAACCATCTTGCAAAACTGAGCAACTTTTACAAGCAAAAAGTTGCCTCATTGTTGCTAAACTTCTTACATTTTATTGCTATCTGTGTTTAGTTTACAGCTTCAGTATTTTAATGTAGTTTCTAACTACAGAAGTTTTGCTTCATATTTTATTAATTTGAGTTAATTTACCTATGAAGTTGTTTTTAGATAATGAAGTGAAATTAAGCAAATGCTAATTAATTATTGATGTGCTCATGAGGTAAATAATACAATAGACATAGACAAAATAAAAAGAATTGCAGCTGAGCATTTAATTAGGGCATAAAACCGTATTTGCACTCTGACATCCTGATACAGATCACATATTCACCCATAAAGAGCATCGTTCAAAAACCCCACATGTGTTTCATATGAAACCTTGTAACAGGAGATGCAGATGTATCTGTTTTGTGGGTAATATGTGAAGCTTTCATTACATATGTCACGTAACAGAGCTGCAAAGAGGAGACAAATGGTGTCAGTTGTGTTTCTTTTGATTTTACAGTGCATTGTTGTTTCATGAAACAGCAACTGGTGGAAACCATTTAGCATTATTAATTGCAAATACTCTACACTCATTTGGTTTCTGTTCACCCACGACAATGGAGGGAAGCACCTTCTCATCAGTGTTTGGTAGAGAATTTTCACACAACAGATGCTTCAGCAGCTTCAAGAGCAGCTAGACTCAGTTTTAGGTGGTGGTGGCTACCTTATAGCTCAAACCTTATATCTGTTATTGTAAAAGTATTTAATTGTTTTTCACCTTTCTGTTTGTTGTTTCTTTCTCTGTTTCTTTCAGCCACTTTGAGTATCTTTCCCAACAGATCTCAGTTCTTCAGGTACGAGTCTGTTACACTGAGCTGTGGAGAGCTTAAAAACTCTAACTGGACAATAAAGAGAAACACGTCAACAAAAACAAATGAAGAGTGCTCCAAACACTGGGGCACAAAAAATGAATCAAACTGCTTCCTTCAAGATGCTTACCCATCAGACAGTGGATTGTACTGGTGTGACTCTGGAGCTGGAGCCTGCAGTGAAGCTGTCAACATCACTGTGACCGGTGAGTTTAAGTACTAAATTGAAGAGGCTGTCATTTGGATTTAAAAGCCAGATTACAGATAGTTCTCATTGCAGAGTTTTGATTGAAATATGACACCAACGTGCGGGTGGGATGTTCAGCAGGTTTATGAAGTTTAGCATATTAAAATAGTGAAAAATTTCTAATTAGAATTAAGCACCAATCAACACAGATTTGAACCTAATAGAAAATGTCACTGAGTGGACTGAGGGCATTTAAATTAATGCATCAAATTTCAGGGAAATCCAACCAGTAACCGTTATAGTGGGTCACTTTATGTTATAAATATGCACCATGAGAATATGCACCATGAGAAGCCTGACATGAGGATTTGTTGAAACAGCTACAAACCTCATTTATGTTTTCCAGCCAAATGACTTCTTATCCATTGTCTGATATAAATACTGACTGTGGCCTCCTGATAGCAAACAAGCAGATTCAAAAAACAGACTTTTGCTAAAATACAGAAAAGAGCATTATTATTGTTTTACTTCTTTAAATATCGAATGTGAAGCTAGAACCTGCACCCTGTTAGCTTAGCATAAATCATTTAGTTCAAAATAAACAGACTTGTATCATTGGGTACAAGCATGCTAACCAGAGGGTGCAGTTCTGGAGTAACTGGGAGAAACATGTAAAGGGTAACTCAACACCTGCAGTTAGCTAAAGAAATTAGCAGAAAATCTAATGGCAGACTCTAATGGGTTTTGAATTAAAGTACTGCAATAAGGGTCATTTAGATATTAGTGCATGGACAAAGCTTATTCCAAGCATGGCTAACAGTTAAAGCTTTTAGCTAATACCATAGCTTCGCATAATCAATAATTAGATGAAATGCTGGAACTAGCTAAAATTATGAACAAAAAGTTATAAATTATTGACCTAAAAGTATGCCCTGCCAGTTAAAATGTTTGGATAAAAATGCAAATTAATATTTAGAACTAAAAATCTAGCTCGGTAAACAAAAAGGATACATTAGTGAAATTTATCGCTATGTGTAATGAAATGAAAAGCTGTTAAATGCAGTAGTAACTTAAAATGGCATCTGAATGGCTGAAATAGCTGAATTCATTCAAACATGCCAGATGTTGAGGAGGAAGTTCTTTTTCCATTTTGAGCTTATCTGATCTGGACTATGTCTTGGTTTAAGGAAGAAGGATAGTTTGGATTGACTATGTTTGATTTCAGTTTTGTTTTTTTTTAACTGAAGCTTTGAGCCATATTAAAACCAACTAATTGATCATTTCTGTCATGCTGTTGTTCAGGAGGCTCTGTGATCCTGGAGAGTCCGGTCCATCCTCTGCAGGAGGGCGATGCTGCAACTCTGCGCTGCATGGATAAACCGACTTCTTTTATCCCAGCTGAATTTTATAAAGATGGCCACCTCATCAGGAACAGCTCTACAGGAATCATGACCATCCTCAAAGTTTCAAAGTCTGATGAAGGTTTCTACAAGTGTACCATCTCTGGTAGCGGAGAATCACCGGACAGCTGGCTGTCTGTCAAAGGTGAGAAGACTGAAAAGTAAAAAGGAAACAAACTTTTTCACACCGCAGATATAACTTCTGTTTCCACATTTGTTGGTGCTTCTATTTGAGCGTAGCACAGAGATCACAGTCTACCAACACGATAGCCCAAACTTGTTGCGTTTGCATCAAGAACAAACTGTGGTTTCTGTTTTCTATTGTGTTTAAGCTGGGCGACCCAAATCTTTTCACTCCCCTCCTATGTATGTTGTGCTTCCTGTGGTGGGTGTCTGCCTCTCGCTGGCTGTGGTGTTGGTTGTGCTGGTGCTGCTGTTCTGCCTCTGGAGGAACCACAAAGGTCAGTCTGTTTTTGAAGTATATCTGTTAGCCACAGCTTTGCACTTACAGTCATATTCTTTAGTTACTGTAAACACACAGTTTATATCGTTCAATTTCTCATACAGAATCCCGCCTCTAAAATCCAAAAGTGCACTGCTGGTTAGAGTGCCCTAAGTTTCCAATAAATTAAGGTACTTTACTTTATGAAACTATGTACATATTAAGATTATATTATAAGTTTCAAAGAGATTAACTGTTCGTTTTTCAGCGTGGCGATAAAGAGTAAGTTTATCTGTTGTTCTTTCAGCTGTCACAGCAGCAGAACCGCGTATTTGATTTAGTCGATTATTTTCCCCTGGATGGCATTTCTGGGAGGGTTGTGTCACATCAGATGACACCATGCAGTTTCAAAGAGTCAGATTATGCAAATTTCCAGAAGAAAATTATATGTGCGTAGTCATCGCATGCAAGTATCAGTGCATCTCTGCAAACTGAACCTTTGTGGCTCTTTATTTAGTAAAATGAGAATATTGAAACTTAAAAAGTGATCGGATGTAAACAGTGTCTTTGATGCCTTTTTTAAATCTTGGTGCTAGCTTTTATACTCTTAAGCTTAACAACCAATAAAACATCTTAAAAATTATGATACAGTCTAAACAAAGGTGACTGAGAGCGTTATTTCCCGCATAGTTTCTATTCATTTCTAGCAGACCAATTAACTTTGCCTTTCAATAGATAAAAGAACAATCTTTCAGGTTTTAGATCCTCCCAAATTTATTTTTGAACTTAAAAAAAAGAAGACATCTTTTGCTCACAATATAAATATAAATGCACATTTTAAAAATGTGATTAAATCAATTTAAAATGATGATTTAATATTTCTTATGTGTACTGTTTATATACACTCAATGAACACTTTCTTAGAAGGGCTGTAATGAAACTGGGCTAGTCATTGGACTATTTTTGATTTTGCTGAGTGTTGATATGATTCTTAGTTATTATTTTCCACATCAAAAATGTGTTTTGCTGCATTTCGTTGTGGTTATTTTGCAAAAGCCATGTACTTTCGCTTAGTTCATATTTTCCCCTTTCTGATTGAAGATTTTGGGTCAATTGTTGGCACCAGACATGGTTTTAACACAGGCCGGTACATACATGAGCTGATATACTTAAAACACAGTGGTGCGACTAACGTAAAAAAGTATGAGTGCATCGTGTCTTACATATTCTTCTGTGTTATCAGCTGTTCGATCTCCTTGGTATGTCTTTGTGTTTCATGAGCTCACTGCAGATCTGATCTCTGATTAGTCACTATTTGTATGATGAAAGTGTCGAAACTCACTGCACAGAAACCGTTTATGTTGTATTTGTTTGATTTGGGTCAAAACAGAGGGCCTGTGTGAAAAAACACAATCAGAAAGTAATCGGGTCGTTGTTGGTTCTGGTGTGTTTAGACATAACTGTAAGACCAAAAATAATACTTGTAGTATTAAACTATGAAACTATCAAACCCTCCCCCACACTTTTACAGGTTTATGTAAAGACTGCACATGTTCTCCCTGTGTGGGTTTCTTTCGGGTAGTCCAGCTTCCTGCTCACACTGCAAGCCTTAACTGAACTTCCTCGTCAGTATCTGCAGGAGTTTATGCATCGCTGAGAGCTCATTGTTGGGAGACAGCATAAAAAAGCAGCAGATGTTTCCTGGTAAAACAGAGAGTGTCATGTAAAAGCAGGTCACTGAAGACAAAAACCTGGAAGAGCGCTACAGCTTTAAGAATCTAATTTTGATGAATCAACAGCAGGATTTACGTTACAAATGGTTTTCTGTGATGTTCTCTCTTTACTAAGCTGATCTATATTTAGTGATTTAACCGAACAAACTATATAAATGAGATCGATTACATGTAGCAGAGAGCTACATATGTTTAACTTTTTACATGGTTGTTTTATGGTCGAGAATCATATTTCCAAGCAGATGTTTAACAGTGAGAAGTGTTGTGCTGCAGGTGAAACTGACCCTGATGTTTCCTACACTGATGTCACCATCGTACCGGAAGTGCAGCCAAAGAGTGACAAAGGTAAAAACACATGCAGAGCTCTTTTCCCACACGTACACAAGAGCCTGAGGCATATGTATGTTATTTATATTACCTCAGTTTTTCCCTTTTGTGGAAAGTTATAAAGACTTTATTTGTGCTATGTTATCTGGTCATGAGTGAAACTTCTTTGATCTTTGAGTCAAGTGTAAACGTCTGCATGAAACTACGACCTCATTGTTTAATGACACAAGAGTATCAGTCGTTATCAAGGAAGCACACGAACAAGTTTCATTTTGTTAATGATTTATAGAGTCAGTGGAGTATCAGCACATAATAAGATACAAACGATAACTAAACATAGAAAGAAACAAATACAGGTGGGTGGCTCACAGGGGGTTCAGAGAGTTCTAAAAATGTGGTTTCACTTGTGGTCGGGGGGATAAAAACCAGACAGAGAGCACCCATGAGTAATAAAAATATCATCAAAATCTGTTGTGTTCCCAGATTGTTGCGTTTAATGACTTTTGGTTTCTATTTAAATGTTACTATGTTTAGTTTCTCCGGGTTTACTTCTGCCTGGTCTATGGGCATTGCTCATTATTCTCCTATGCTCCTCTCCTCGCATCTTAGTCCCCCCTACCATGAGGAGAGACTACTCATATTTGACATTTAGGGCCCCGATTTAAAGTCACAATATGACACAGTGTGGCAAGATAGTATACAGTGCTGTGCAAAAGTCCTGAGCTAACCTAATTTTTTTATATTTGGTTTCCAAGGGGTCAGACTTCCCTGTAATCTTTCTCAAAGTGGTCTTGAGCAGTAGTTCTCCAGGCTTTCTGAACGTCTTTCAAATATTTCTTTTGGACACTGGCTGCTTTTTCACTCTTTTTAATTTTTTTTATTTATTTTAATTTTTTAGGGGAATGTGTTTTTTATTTGTTAAGCTACTTGACTCAACTATTAATTACTGAAGTATAAGGAACCTAACCCACTGATGTGTCAACACATAACAAAGGATTAGCAAAGAACACATTTTTAATTGCATCTTTGTTGCACATAAATATTCCCATTTTGTCATCAGATTCTACAAAAATGCCAAAGATAACACAGTTTGAGAAACACAGCATTTTTGCACCAACACGATGCTTCCCAAAGAACCATTAGCCGAAAATCTTGGAAATCTCTGCACATTTACTGATGCCTCATCAGAATTGGTGTTAAGTGGTAGGGCTGCCATCAAGAACCCATTCTTAAGGTAGGAAAACAGGAAGTGATGGAGTGAATCCCAAATTAAAATATTTGGTTCAAACTGTCATCAGTATGTACAGTGGAAGTCGTGAGAGAGGTACAGTGAGTGTCTACAGCCACCTGTAAAGCTTCCTCATGGTTTTTCATTTCACTTCAGCCAGTGTTTTGGAGATCTTGTCAAAACTGCTGGAATTATGAATACAGAAAAAATACCATCAGGTTTTGATCCACTACATCTGAAAAGCATCTCAAAGGCAGCAACTTCATTTTTCAGCATGGCAATGATCCCAAACACTGACAATGCATTAGAAACAGAGTGTTAGAAAAACACACAAAGAAACACTGTCAGTCATGGACTCGCCTCCCTGAGCCCAGGCCTCAACATTGTTGAAGTACGGGATCATATAAAGGTAGACAACATCTAAAGAAGAGCTTTGAATGTCCTTCAAGAAGCCCGGAGAACTATTCCTGAAGATGACGTAAAGAAACAAGAACGCTGCAGAGTTCAGGCTGTGTTGAGGAATAACACAACCTTCAACTTTGTAAGACCTGTACAAGCTTTCATTGCCTAATATACTGTGATTCTATGTTTGCACGTTTCACTGCATCATTGCGTCCATTTTCCATATAAGACAGGCTGAACTCTGTCCTCTCTCCTTTAAATGCATTTTAGGGATTTTTCACATGGAGTACTAACTTTACTTTCTGGTCATTGCTCAGCCTCCCTCAGCGCCTTGCATTTGGTTCCTCTACCAGGCCATGACGTGTCTTAGTGACAGAAACAGAGAAAAGTGGCTTATAAATGACTGCTGTGTCCTGTACCATCACAGAGATTCTTTTAAATGTAAAGACTTACTGCATTTCCTATTATTGGTACACAAAGATCTTCCTTAATAATAATGTTAAAAATGTTTTAGCATCAAAATGTATGCAGTGCTTACAGTAAAAGTATTCATTATAAAGAATTGCCCATTACTACAAGTGAGTACTGATTCACTGCAACACTTCAGCGCTGAATGTAGAGGCAGTTATATTTTAAGGGGGCGGGGACACCCCCTTCATACTGTGTGAGAGTCACTGAAAAATGAAGCGTGAAACAAAGAAAGCCCACACTGCCTGGTGTCACTGCAAGTAGATGTTTTAAAAATGTATAGCATGTGATGAAGTGTAGTTGAACTTTAATGTCTGCATGTTGTTAGTAGTTTAACAGTTTGCATCTTTGTGTCTTTAGCAGAAACAGATTCTGAAGCAACTTTCTATTCAACAATCAAACCAGCAGCCAGCTGAGCGGAGGCATCAGAGTCTGTGCTGGGATCTATTTTTGTTTCGTCTTCATGTATAAAAACTGTAAATGTAAACTGAGCCGAGTCCTGCTGCAGCTGAAGACCCGCTTGTTTTGCATGCACTGCTGTAAAATCATAGACTTTTGTTCTTAAACTATTTATTGTTTATTCTTTTTGTCATTTTTTTGCTTGTGATTTTTTTAAATTAATTTTTTATATAACTCATGAATAACAAACAGACACTTCCAGCTTGGCAGTTGAAGAAGTGAATGAGAGAGTGCTCAGTTTCTGTTTTTCAGCGGTGTATTGAGTAACCTGTTCTACTGCTATGAATGAAGCTCGGAAAATAGAAAACTGGAAAATGTACTCCAGAATTACCCGACTGAGCCAGTCCCTTGCAATTTCTCATTACAGTTTCTGCTTTCACGTGTACAAGTGAAACTTCCTTAATATGTTTATTATGTGTCGATCTGTTTATAGAAACTGAGCAGACAGGGACTTCCCACTAATTTACTCATGATTAGCTCACTTCCTGTTCCTTCTTTCCACTGTATCTGATTTCATTCAGATACTCAGAGCTCATCAACAGATCCTGTCAGGCTCTAATTTTAATCAGGTTTTTAGAAATGTGGTTTTCATTTAATCATTGTTTCAACTGCATTTAAAACTTCTTCAATTTTACCATTTATATCTTTAAATCACTGAATTTATGCTTTGTACTTTCCCGCAAACACTGACTCATCCACTTGTTTGCCTCAGGCTTCTCCATGTGAGAGGAAACTCAATCCACGTGTCCTAGAAATATCTTGTAATCATACTAATGAAAGCAAGTCATGACAAAGCATTTTTTTTTTCTATCGCATTGTTACCCTGTTTTTTTTTTTTTCAGAGGCCAAGTTTCTGTCATTTTGTTATTTAACAGTGAGTGTGTCATATGCTAGTCAGGTGAATGTAAACTATTGTCTTGTACTTTCCCGGCTCTCCAAGAAAATGAATTATTATTTTAATCATAAAGTTGTTTAACATTTAATTTAAAAAGGGCAAATTTGTGGTCTAAATAAATAAAATATATAAATATTGTTCTTCTCTTTAAATTGATCTGTCAGCACAAAGGACCACTTCATTGAATGAAAGAGCAAACACACAGTAATTTTATTGTATTTGTATAGTACTTATTCTATTGTATTCCGGTGGCTGGTATGATTTCTATTTTTGTATAATATGTTATTCTGTTTATCTTATTCTATTCTATTGTTTTTCTCTCCTAATTTTTACAGCTCTTGTACTTTCTCCACGTGTGGGTCTAATAAAGGTTTATCTTATCTCTTACCTTTCAGTCTGAAACCTCAGCTTGTGCAACATTTTAAGACAAAAACCAAACAAAAAGCAGATTTAATAATAGGTTAATTTATTTACGTGAAAAAGTGAGCTCTGCAATCTCAAAACACTATTTACTGAGGTCATTTCTAAGAGTTGCACTGATTTTGACAGTATAAAGTCACATTTCTCACTCACGCCACCTAGCGGGCCCTTTTTTTATTTGCCAAACATGATTCACTCATAGTGCTCTCTCTCCCATGTGTTCAAATGTTGTTCTTATCTTAGTCGGAGTCTAAGGGCAGAGTTTCCTGTGCAGATATGAAAAAGATCAGAAAACATGTCACATTAAAATCGGTTCTGATTAATTTTTCTAGTATAAGATTAATGGCTGAGGTGGCAGGAGATATTGACGAGAGCAAATATAAAAACTGGCTTCACTTTTTAATTTTATTTATACATCCAAATCTCAGCAACAGCAGTTTCTTCAATGCACTTTATGTAGTAAGTTAAAAGGAGACTTTTGAAGTGGAATCTCCACTTACAATCATCGCTGCAGAGTGTGAAGTCGTTCTAAAATGGAAAACGACTCTGCCCCCTAGTCGTCAGTGTATTGGTGGTTCTTGGTGTCCGAGGCTGGGCGCTAAGGTATGTACCGGCTCACTCCTGGTGGCTGCTTGACAACACCTGTGCCTCAGTCAGGCCCTCTGCCCTCTGGGCTTGCGGATCGGTTCACTCTGGCGCAGCTGGCTGCTGGCAGAGCCCGCGGGCATGTCAATGCAGCCCCCTCAGGCTTGTTCTCGGTGGCTGCTGGGTGACCCCTCGTTCGGGGGCTCTCCTCAGCTCTTCCCAGGAGGGTGACACAGTTGCCCCTCCAATTGTTAGTGTGATGGTGGTGTGTTTATTACGTTGCTCTCTTTTTTGCTTCTTCTTTTTTTCTTTTCTTAACAGGTGATCCAGGTGGTTTGTTTTTAAGTGCCCTTTCTCACTGTCCCTCTTCCCCTCTGTCTCCCCCCCCTTCTTTGTTCCTTTCTTTCTCTCTTTCCTATCCTCCAGTCATGTCTGTCCCGTCTGTAACAAATGAAAATAAAATAAATAAATAATAATAATAACCAAGGTCAATCAAATGGACCAATCTGGCAAGGTAATCTACTTGGATAACCTTGATCCATGATGATCCACTTGGTAAAGTAAATCCATTGGGCATCTTTCTTGGCCTTCAGACAACAATTCTGATGCCTTAAGAACCAAACAGGACAGGCCAAAAAGCAAATAAACAAAAAAATTACTCTGCCCCCTGGTGATCATTTCCAAACTGGGATTTCTCTTTGTGTTTTGATGTTTCACACACTTAAGCGGTGACACGTTTGGTAGTTTAAGACGAGACAAAACATCAGGATAATCTGAAAAACCTAAATGCAGGGCAGAAAATACAGAAAGTAATAATAAAAATAATGAGGGATTGCATTTATATAGCGCTTTTGTAGGCACCCAAAGCGCTTTACAATACCACTATTCATTCACTCACATTCACACACTGGTGGAGGCAGCTACAGTTGTAGCCACAGCTGCCCTGGGGCAGACTGACAGAAGCGGGGCTGCCATGTCTGGCCAACACCAATAGGAGTGTCTTGCCCAAGGACACAGCGACCAACGACAGTGCTGGGGATCAAACCGGCAACCTTCTGGTTACAAAATGAGCTTCCCAACCCACTGAACCACAGTCACCCCAAGCAGAAGAGCTAAAGAAGAATCTGACATTTCAGCAGATGTTTTTCACCAGAGCAAAATCACAAAGTGAAGCTGTTGTGAAAGTTTTATTGTAGCAGAGGAGATAGCCAAATCAGCCCGGCCGTTTACCGTGGGAGAGTTTCTGAAGAGTTGCATGATGAAGGTGTACAAAACGCAGATTTTCGCAAATGTGAGCTTGAGGAGAAATACAATTGCTGATTGGGTTTGTGAGATGGCCACTGATTTAAGAACAGAGTTGTGTGAAAGAAGCAAAGACTGTATTGCACACTCTCTTGCGGTGGATAAAAGTACAGACATGATGGACATTGCACAGCTGGCCATCTTTATCTGTGGAGTGGACTCCAATTTGTACGTTACAGAGGACATATTGGACATTAAATTGATGCACGGGACAACGACAGGAAAATACATTTTTGAAAACTTATGAGACAAAGCAGAAAGAGAAAGCGAGTCAAGGACAACAACAAGAGACAACATCGTCACATTGGAAAGGTAGGATAGTAATCATCCACAATTATTTTCAGTTGCAGATGATAAAGAATTCAGAAAGTTTATTCATGCAGAAAATCCTATGTATGCAATTCCAAGCAGGAAAACACTCTCTCCAAAAATCATCCCAGGCCTATATGACAGACAATGTGCATCTTCTTTCAATTTTGCATATTTTAATTTATATTTATTGTGTTGTGGTTTGCAGTGTTTTGTGTTGTTTTGCTTTAAATTTGTTTAAAAGAAAAAAAAAAGCTGAAAATTGAAATAGTTAAAAGTTCTCTCTCTCTCTCTGATTGTCTTTAGACACTGTGACAACTGAAGAAACACAAAGTTTACAAGAAATGTTTTTGAGCTTATCAGAGTCTCTGATGTCAGTGTCCATAAACAGTCTTGAGCAAGCAGAACAGAAAAAATGCAAAATAATGGATATCACTGAAAGTGTCTTCTTATTACCAATGTAGAACACGTATGTAACATTATATAAACAATATACATGAAACCATACCGTGCGCCTCTTGGAACACATGCAGAAAAGCATTAACGTTGAGGTTGTAGATGCATGTGTAGCTCTGTATCCATGCTAGCTCCACAATGCCATGGTTGCGCTATCAGCCAAACTCTGGTCATTTGACCATTACAAACTCTACCTCATACGAACTTTACAGCACTTTTCATATTTAAACAAACCCATATTTTGTAATCACATATTTTAGACATGTTTTTTAATCAGTGTTACACTTTTAAAATCTTATCCAATAAATAAAGGATACGATGATAATGAAAATGGAACAAAAAGGAGGGCGTGGCAGACAAGGTAAACAAGCACATTTCTTAGAGGAGGAGAATGTGGAGAGTGAGGAGGAAGGAGCTAAAATGGACCACATAAAGGCAAGTAGTGTGACTATGTATAATGTGCATGAGGAGATTAGTATCCTAAGGTTCTCCCTTAACTGCAGACAGAAGCTAAAAGTAAATGGACACAATGTGACAACTGAAGTAGACACAGGCTGGGCTACACTGCCATGTTGAAGGAGTCATTTTAAAAACCCTTTGAAGGCAGTAATGCACCCAAAGTAAGCAAGTGTGGAATCAAACTGAGAATGTATGGAGGCCACAAGGTACCCATGTGCAGGGACAGACTGGGACTAAAAAACAGCCCTGGACTTTGACTGGGCCCGGACCAAAGTAATCGGCGTGCGGAAACTCGGCAACAATAATGCTTGGCATTAGTGTTACACAGTGTTGGGGAGTAACGGAATACATGTACCGCCGTTACGTATTTAAAATATAAAATATGAGTAACTGTATTCCGTTACAGTTACCGTTTAAAAAGGTGGTATTTAGAATACAGTTACTTTGTTGAAATAAATGGATTACACTGCGGTACTTTCCTGTTTCATTTTGTTGCGGGTCAGGACTGTTTGGGTTTTGTTTGACAGCTACGTTCTGTCGTTCCAGGTGGCAGCGTTACGGTTGCCATGGTTACAGGGCGACGCTCTCTCTCTCTGCGACTGTGTGTTTCCTGGGTGAGAGAGAGCCTTTTCGTTGTTGTTGTTGTTGTTGTGCTAAGCTAACAGGCAGAATGCTACAAGCATAGCTCTAAAGAATGTAGCATCATGGGCAGTGTAGTCCGTGCTGCAGGGAGAATGGACTGCCATACACGTTATGTGTCTGTGAGCGCGAGGAGGGAGAAAAAGGGGAGTGGAAAGGTACGAGTTGTCATCGAGGAAAAACGGGAGCTGGAAGCATGTAAATGTAATAATAACCACTTCAGCCAAGAAGAGTGCCTGACGAGCCCAGTTGTAAGTAAGCTATTAAGACTCAACTGTACACCGTGTTCGTGTTTTCCTCCGAAAACAATAAGTTCCGTTGGAGCAGCCTTTCAACGCCTCTCTCTGTCTCTCGCAAGAAAAGTTGACCCACACAAAAAAGTAAAGCTATTTTTCGGCTACGAGCCGACAGGGACCCCGCCGTATTAGTCAGAGGTCCCTTTACTACAGTTCGGAGTCGCGGACCTTCAGTAATAGTAATAAATCACACAGCAATAGTACATTCACGTAGTTGTAAAAAGCATGATAATATATTAAGTAATCCAAAGTATTCAGAATACGTTACTGTCATTGAGTAACGTAATACGTTACAGAATACATTTTAGGGCATGTATTCTGTATTCTGTAATGGAATACATTTTAAAAGTAACCTTCCCAACACTGGTGTTACAAGACTTTAATTGTGGCCTATGCTATCAAACCATCAAAATTATAGCAAC